TTTCCTACTTTTTATTTTTCATTTCCAGACAGCCACATTTGGTGGGTAGAAGGAAAGCTGGACTGGACAGTGCCAAACATTGCAGACCCTATCCACATGCCCTCTGGGCTGGCTCTCACCATTGGGCAGGACACACCCACCTGCTGTGGCAGCTAGTTGTCCTGGGACCATGAGACAGTACAACTCAGACTGCTGTCTGCACGACCAGCCATGTTCCAGATGTTCACAAGAGAAAGCCAGATTCACATGGCAAGTACTGTTTCTCACTGGGCATTACCTCTCCTCTCTCGCTTTGTGCCAGAGGGCGTGCACAAGAGCTAGAGAGAGAAAGCATCCCTCTAATGGGGCTAGTCATGCCATGGTCCTTTTTCCTTCACTTCTCCCATCCTGGGCTCCAGGACTCAAACAATGAAGTTGGCCATGTGTGATCCAGTCACCTTAACCTCCATGCCACCTGCTGTCCACTGACTTGTTTTTTTTTACTTTTTTTTTGGGGGGGGGGGAGAAGTTTTTGCTATAGGGCGCGTGCGCTCGCCAGAAAGACAGAGAGAGACAGAGAGATAGAAAGTGAGAAATCACCCCCCAGGGGGAATGGCCACGTCGCAGGCCCTTCTCCTCCATTCTCCTCTTGGGATCTTAGGCACGCACGCACACGCGCCTGGCGTGAGTTTAAGCCGCCGGGTCCAGGACGCAAACCGTGGTCAACTACGTGGGAGTCCAGCGACATAGCAATTATGCTAACTGCTGGTCCCATCCCCTGACTTGTTTTGATACAGATATACATTGTTAAAAAAAAAAAACAACTCTACATCCAAACCAATGAACTTCCTATCATCTCACATAGTTACTCCCTTCTTTATGTGTGGGGTGAACATGTAAGATCTACCCTCTTATTAAATTTTAGATGTATAATACAATATTGCTAACATAGGCAAATAGCCAACGGCCGTAGGTACTGCTGTCACTGGAGACAGGTACAGGACACTATGGCAACCGAGTCCAAAGGGAGGCTCCAGAGTCTTCCTGGGACTACCCCACCTAGGGAGCTTGGGAAGGTAGGGGCTGACTAAGTTGGGTAGAAATGGTAAAGATTGGTTATGTGAAGCTGCAGGAGAAGAAGGAACTGTGTATGTAAAAGTCAGGAGAAAAGTAGAATTTAAAATAGTCAAACTCATAAAGCAGTGAGTAACATAGTGTTTGGTGCTAGTGGGTGTGGGGAGGAGAAAATGGGGAGACACTGGTTAAGGGGTTCAAATTCTTAGTTACATAGGACGAATAAGATCTAATGTACAGAAATGTGACTATTTGCCTATGTCTTCCTAAAAAACAGACAGACAAACAAATTTTGGGGCTGGCAGGTGGCACGGTGGTTAAGGGCACTGGAATCCCACATGGCTGACCAGAGTTTGAATCCCGGACCTGGCGGCTTGGTTTCTCACTTTCGCTCGCTCTCTTTTTCTCTCACACTCTGTCCCTCTCTGATCAAATTAAAAATAAATAAATAAATAAATAAATAAATAAATAAAGTTAAATAAAAAGTAATTCTAAAAAATATTAAAAAAAATAAACTTCAAAAATACATATTGAAAGAGAGAGGCTTTTTGTTTGTTTGTTTTATAACCGTGAGATATGTGCAGTGGAAAAAGTGTCTAACCAACCTGAGGTTCACCAGATGCTGTATCCTTTCATGGATGGGTTTATGAGGCTTTACAACAGCATGGGAACAGGTTAGGCAACCCAGGACTTCATATGTATTCTTTTTATTTTTTTTTTTGATTGTAGAGTCTTTATTAACTTTTTTTTATTTGATTCACAGTATGAGAGAATTTGTTTAATATATATGTAGGGACACAGGTTTTTCATGTGGCTTTGGGCTCTAGTATGGCTTAGTGTGGTCCTGTAGGAAAGTTCTCTTACTTTGGGATATGGCTGTACAGCTCTGGGGCTGGCAGGTGTTTAAAGCTGACATTTTTTTCTCACTGGACTCTTCTCAGGAGGAGAATGGAGAGGGGATTGCAAAGTGGCCATGCCCCCTGAGGGATGATTTCTCACTCTTCCTTTCACTGTCTTTCTTTGTCTCTCTCCATAGAGAGAGAGTGCATGCACCCTATGACCAAAAAAAAAAAAAAAAACCTTTAAAAAAGAAGGTAAGAAAGAAAGAGGGCTGGCAGGTGGTGTGATGGTTAAGGGCACTGGACTTCCACAAGGCCCTGGTTTGAGTCCCAGACCTGGCAGTTTGGTTTTTCACTTTCGCTCTCTCTCTTACTTACTATCTCTCTCTCTCTGTCTTTCTCTGGTCAAATTAAAAATCAAGTAAATAAATAAAGTTCAATAAAATAATTATTTAAAAAAGAAAGAGAAAGGAAGAGAAGAAAAAAGAAACAAGCAGGGCTGGCCCCGCAGCTCAGTGGTTAAGGGAGCTGGTTGACCACAGTTCGAATACCAGCACAGGCAGTTTGATAACTCTCCAGGCATGAGTGCTGTGTGCCCAAATCCTGACAAGATGGAGAAGTGGGAAAAAAACGGATTGCATTGTGACCATGCCCCGTTGAGAGGATGCCTTCATTCTGTCTCTCGGATGAGTACATGTGCTGTCAATTAAAAAAAAAAAAATCAAGACAAACAAACTATTTCAAATTGGAATCCTTGGGATATTTACAAATGGTGTGAGGATAATGTCTATACCTGGCTCATCACCTGAGGCCAGTGCCAAGTCACTCAGTTTAGTTAGGACAATGAGTCATCAAACTTTGGTTTCTGTAGTACTGCCTACTGAAAATGGCTAAAACCCACAGGTAACGATCCCAAATGTGGAAGTGGTTCCAGTGTCATTATCAAGTGAGATAATGTATATGAAAGACTCATAAACTCCGCAGAGCTACGTAGGGGTTCATTGTTATTGATTTTCTCTGGAAATTGAGTTCTCTATATGCAATGTTAAAATGCAGGTCAGCCAAATTTCTAAGTGTGTAATTCCTGAATTCAAAATTAGCAGAACTCAGTTGAATGAGGTTTGGCAGTGGCTATCTTTATTTCATATGAATGTGAATACAATGCCAGTCTTTTTGGTGTTGCTGTGGAAGAGTAATGGCCAGCCTCAGGCCACTTTATCTGTATTTAGCAATCTGTATATAGCAATCCCTATAAAATTTAGCTTATCCAAAACAAAACAAAACAGCCCCCCTCATCATAGTAAGGTTTTCTCTCTAAGTCTATTGTAAATGGAAGTAGGACAATGCTGAGAAATAAGAATTTATATATAGATGTCAGACTGATCTGATATTCATCCATCAGGTTAAATATAATTTCTTTCTTTTTCTTTTTTTTTTTTTTTTTGGAGAGGTTTTTGCTATAAGGCATGTGCGCTCGCCAGACAGACAGAGACAGAGAGACAGAAAGCGAGAAATCACTCCCCAGGGGGGATGGCCATGCCGTAATCCCTTCTCCTCCGTTCTTCTCTCGGGATCTTGGGCACACACGCACACGCGCCCGGCGTGAGTTTTAAGCCACTGGGTCTGGGATGCGAACCACGGTCTACTACATGGGAGTCCAGTGACATAGGTATTACACTAACTGCTGGTCCCAAATATAATTTCTTCAGAGAAACTTAGAGTGTCAAGGTCCCTTAGTAGAGTACAATACCCAAGAAGGCACAGACCGTTTATACTTTGCCTGCTACTATATCCCCAGAACCCTGAGCAGTCCTAACACAGGGTAGGTGCTCACTGATCACGTGTTGAATGAATGGATTCATTTACTCAATAATATGTGACAGGCCCAGTATTCTGTACTGGATTAGAGAGAGGAAAAAGGGCTCCTTTCCAGCTGGAACCATGGAGGGCATTCAAGAGAAGAAAAAGAAGGTTCCTGTTGTGACAGAAGCCAAGAAAAAGGTTCCTGCTGCTGGGGAAGCCACCAAGAAAAAGGTTCCAGAAACCCTTAAGAAAAAGCAAAGGAATTTTGTGGAACTGAAGACTAAGCACCTGAGAAAAGTTTGCTCAAAAGTTGCTTCAAAAGGCAAGAAGGAAGCTTATCTATGAAAAAGCTAAGCACTATCGTAAGGAACTTAGTCAGATATATAAAACTGAGATTCACATGGCTAGGAGGGCAAGAAAAGCTGGCACTTTCTATGTACCTGCAGAACCAAATTGGCATTTGTCTTCAGGACTGGAGGTATCAATGGAATGAACCCAAAAGTTCGAAAGTGTTGCAGCTTCTTCACCTTCGCCAGATCTTCAATGACACCTTTGTTAAGGTCAACAAGGCCTCGATTAACATGCTGAGAATTGTGGAACCATATATTGTATGGGGGTACTTGAATCTGAAGTCAGTAAATGAACTAACCTCTAAGCATAGTTACGGCAAAATCAATTAGAAGTGAATTGCTTTGACTGATAACTCTTTTTATGAGAAAGCCTGGGCATATACATATTTTTTTTTTTCACTATAGGGCGCGTGCCCTCGCCAGACAGAGAGAGACAGAGAGACAGAAAGTGAGAAATCACCCCCCAGGGGGGATGGTCACGCCGCAATCCCTTCTCCTCCATTCTCCTCTCGGGATCTTGGGCACGCACGCACACGCGCCCGGCGTGAGTTCTAAGCCACCGGGTCCGGGACGCGAGCCGCGGTCGACTACGTGGGAGTCCAGCGACATAGCCATTACGCTAACTGCTGGTTCCCTATACATATTTTTTAAGAATTATTTTATTTAACTTTTTAAAAAAAATTTGACCAGAGAGGTACAGAGTGAGAGAGATAGAGAGAAAGTGAGAAAGCAAATCACCAGGTCCAGGCTCGAACTGCAGTCAGCCATGTGGGAGTCTAGCACCCTTAACCACCGCACCACCTGCTGGCCCTGACAGATAACTCTTTAATTGCTCAGTCTCTTGGTAAATTTGGCATCATTTGCATGGAGGATCTAATTCATGAAATCTATACTGTTGGAAAGTGCTTCAAAGAAGCAAATAACTTCCTGTGGCCCTTCAAATTGTCTTCTCCAGGAGATGGAATGAAGAAAAAGACCACCCACTTCATAGAAGATAGAGATGCTGGCAACAGGGAAGACCAGATCAACAGACTTAATAGAAGGATGAATTAAGGTATCCACCATTATTACTTTCATAATCTAGTCAGTAAATGAAGAGTGGCTGGTTTCAGACTAAAAAAAAAAAAAAAATACAGAGCAAAAGAGAGAGTGAGAGAAAGAAAGAGTCTGCCTCTCCAACAGCTTGCGAGACCAGTCAATGAACTGACACTGCCTGCAGTATGAAAGGCACCTTGGTAGAGTGTGTCCAAGTTGTCATGGGAACACAAAGGAGGAATGTGTGATGCAGTCTGGGTGAGAGCAGAGGAATACGGGAGCTCAGAGAAAGCATCTTGGAGCTGTATTGCTTGAATTAAGTGTTTAAAGACAAGTTGTCCAGGTCAGAACAGTGAGGAGAAGAAATTGCATGTTCAAAGGGAAGAGACCAAAGCGTGTGTTTGTGTATCAGCATGCTCTAATGTAGAGTCTCGGAGGTACCTGGTGTGTGTGGGAGTGTGTGTGTGTGTGTGTGTGTGTGTGTGTATGTTGGGTTGTAATGGCTGACAGATGTTCACTTACTTCCCTCTCACATTTTTTCAAAGATTCATGACCTTATTTCCAAATAATGCATCTAGCTGAAAGATTGTTTTATACCTGCCTGCTTTATTTCTTGCACTCCCTCCCATCCTTTCTCTCAAATAATTTGTTTGTCCTCAGTATTCATTTCTGCCTGGTCATGGTTTGTGGCTTATTTTTTTTCCTGCCCTGTATGTGGCATCCTCATTTGGATAAACAGCAATCCTTGGTGCAGGGACCAAATCTGAGTCAACTTTGAGATTACAAAACAGTGTGACTTCTTTGCATCACAAAAGGTGATTTTTCCCCCTCCAGAATTTTTCTGTTGTCTTGATTTTCAATTTTTCTTTGTATCCAAAGACACAGTCTAAATATTCATATCTTAGTTTTCTCTTTGGGAATAACAACCAAGGACATACGACAGTGCTAAGGCAATGGAACAGTGGAGCACAAGTGGGTTTCAATAAAACCACTACCACTAGGTACATGTAAAACTTTGGAAAACATGTTTGTCTTGTATTTAAGACAAAAATTGGATTGGATGCTCTCTAAGATACCATACCACTTGTCAAGCAGAGAAAATATTTGGCCTGGTAAAGCACGACAGGAAACTCACCTTGAGCACACACAGTAGTGACTGCAATGCTCTCACACACATACACGTGTGTGCGCACACACACACATACACACTCTGGATAGGAACAATCTAGTTAAAGGAAATCAGCTTAACAGAGACCCAGCAGTGGGTGTAAGGTTAGCATTCTCCATAAATGTTTTGATAATTGTACAATTAAGTGCTGCTTGGGAAAATTCGTTCTCACGGTGCAACTTGACAACTTCCTCCTTTGTTTATCCAGCCTTGAGTGGGTCTCTATGTCCTAGGAGTGACCAATTTATTTGTCCTCCTGAGGTTCAAAGCACTGCGCTAGTCACTGAGAGATAGCATCATACCTGACTTTGAACTAACCTATGGTGGAAATTGGTGATCTGTACTTTAAAAGGAAAAAATAAATATACGAAATCTGTTTATATTTAGGTTTTTGAAGAGTATCTTTCCATCTAAAGGAGAGCTGATGACATTGTTTCTTCAGTAAGGGGTAGTCGATTCTGCACTTGTAGTATTATGTGTGCGTGCATATGTGTGTGTACCTGTTTCAAAAAAAGTAACTATTCCAGTTTGGCAACCCCCTAATTGCAGGGATTGCTAAAATGATTAGTATGCATGTTATTGCAGAGAACTCAGCACCCTATAAAGTCATATGGCAGGAACTAGGGCATTTCTCAATTTACCACATTAATATTGCAATAAACCAACTCCTCTCTGTAAACATCAGGCCAAGAAGGACTACCTGGAAGCTTTGCAGGATCTTCTGAAGAATTTTTTCTCTCTGAGAAGAAGGGAAATTTTTTTACCTTGTTCTTTGGGTTTCCACTTTTCTTTATTCTTTTTGAAAAAATTATCTGTTTTTCTAATTAGAAAATGTAGAAAGTTTCTAGAGTAGAAAGTTTGTAAAGTGCATAAAAAATAAATGAACAATAATAAAATGAAACTCCACCTTGTAGTTACAAACCCTATGAATCTTTAGAAATACTTTCTTCCAGTCCTTTTTTCCCATACATTTAAATAATAGTTATGCCCAGGGGCTGGCAGATGGCATACTAGTTAAGAGCACTGGACTCCCATGTGGACCTGGTGGCTTGCTATCTCACTTTCTCGCTCTCTCTGTCCCTCTCTGGTCAAATTAAAGTAAATAATTAATTAAAGTTAAATAAAATAATTCTTAACAAAATAGTTATGCCCTACTCTTTACACTTAATATTGTAAAATAGGAATTTTTCTTTCTTTTTTTTTTTTCTTCTTTATTTGGAGAGGTTTTTTTTTTTTTTTTTTTTTGCTATAGGGCATGTGTGCTCGCCAGACAGACAGACAGAGACAGAGAGACAGAAAGTGAGAAATCAACCCCCAGGGGGAATGGCCACGCCGCAATCCTTTCTCCTCCATTCTCCTCTCGGGATCTTGGGCACGCATGCACATGCACCCGGCATGAGTTTAAGCCACCAGGTCCAAGACTCGAACCGTGGTCGACTACGTGGGAGTCCAGCAACATAGCCATTATGCTAACTGCTGGTTCCAGGAATTTTTCTTATTTAAAAATACTTATAATCATATTTTAACAAGACAACTAGTGCTTTATTTATGAAGTTTAACTAAACAGACTCCCAATTGTTACATATTAATGTCTAATTTTTCCCTTACATAAAATATGCTACATTGAGGGACTGGCTGGTGGCTTGTTGGTTGTCTAACCATGGTTCAAGTTTTGAACATGGGGGCTTGCTTTCTCACTTTCTCTCTCTTTGGTGAGTTAAAATAATAATAATAACAAAATAAAATAAATAATTCTTTAAAAAATATGCTACATTGATCATTTTTGAAAAATAAACTTGTACTTTTATTACATCCTTTCACAAACTTTTTTTTCTTTTAATTGATGATAGGGTATGTGCACATAAAAATGAAAGAAAGAGAGATGAACACTCTTCACAGGATCTGGTCACACGCCATCCCCTTCTTCCAGTCCTGTAGTGCTCCAGACTTGGGCACTTGCATGCCTGGCATGTTCCAGGCTGACTGGACTGGGGATTTGAACTGTGGTCACCAAGTGGGATCTGACTTCTCTTGAGCAGTGCATTACTTCTGTGCCATGGAGCTGGTTCAAGTGTTGATCATCTTAATGTCAAAATATTTGTGCATATTTTGGATTACTTCTTTAGTACATATTGCTAAAACTGAAATTTCAGGGCCAAAAAGTAGAACATTTTAAAGCCTCTTTAAGCACATTGCAAAACTGCTATTAAGAAAGATTACATTCATTTTTACTCCTGCCACTAGCAGCATATGAAAGGACCTGTTTCACCACACATTCATTAGTTTGGAGCATTCACATTTTAATACATCTTTGCTAAATTTGTACATAGGCATAGTATCATGTATTGGCAGTTTTAGTTCTATTGTACATTTGTATTCAATAATTAATAAAGTTGATTATTTAATCAAATGTTTGTCATTCAGTTGCTTGTGCATTGTATATTCACATTCATTCTCTATTATCTATTGAGAATTTAAAGCCTTTTTCTTTTTTATTATTTCCTTCAATGATTGCTTCTATTTGAAACCTGTTTGTATCTTTCGATAACTAAAATGCATGTATTTGATGTAGTTCAACTTTTCATATGTTTGTTTTCTTGTATTTATTTAAACTTAGAAAGTTATCTCTAGTCCTCAATTGTTTTTGTATCTACATAAACTTTTTTTTTTTTTGGAGAGTTTTTTGCTATAGGGCGCGTGCACTCGGCCAGAAAGACAGAGAGAGACAAAGTGACAGAAAGTGAGAAATCACCCCCCAGGGGGGATGGCCACACTGCAAT